TGCCCCTCCGCATCCACTACGATGAGCTGTTCGTGCAGAATCACTACAGACCAGGGCCCATCCAAAGGCCTTCCACTGCCTCCGGGGATCCCATAAGTGTACAAGGCAGCTGGCAGACCATCAGTGGCGGCCGATGGTGGCATTTCCAGCTGCAAAAGAAAACTCTGGTGGCCCCCGGTGCCAAGCGTCGGATTGCAGTCATGACATCTGACGTCTGTCCCGAGATGGGAGTTTGGCTCTTTCTGTTCAGGCATGAGGATCAGCAAGCCCCAGGGCTGGTACTAAAACAAGTTCAACAAAATAGGCTTGGAGGCCATGGTGGTTCAATTGGCTTTAAACTTCCCTCCAATACTTGTGACCACTTTGCACCCTGGTAACTGACCTTCCATACATTCTTCTTGCTTTACCACTGGAGCTGCTCTTGCACAGATCTTTCCCACCTAAACACCCCTCATCTTACTTGGTTTGCATTATGGTTCCCTTAACCCTTTTCCCTCCAACTACCCCACAGCACCCGGTACTCCTGCAACTAAGCGACCAACTTTGGTTGAACAAAAATTGGACTCATTGTTGTCATTCATACCGCTACAGTGTGATAGCTTCAGTACACTGAACTGCAGGCAAAGCCACAGGCCATACGGTTGGCTACATGCAAAGTCCAGTTCTTTATATCTACTTGCAATGAACTTGCAGTTCCTTAGTGTGTTGTAACTGACTAGAGAAAGAAAAGGGACGTTGGAATGAGTTCCTATTGAATTTCCTTAGTGTGTTGTTACTGATTAGAGAAAGAAAAGGGACCTTGGACTGAGTTCCTATTGAATTCTACAGTTTTTCAGTTTTGTGTTTCCACGGTGCATCTTCAGTCCGGTTTGGTGTGGATTTTCCTTTCCAAGTCTTCTTTGTCACCTCGCGCATGTATGGGAACATGCTGAATCTGTTGGATGGAATTTCAATCAGTCACATAACAGACTTGCTCCTGCTGCTCTCTCCTATGTCACCTAGTTTCATGGCCACTAGATGACCTGCTGCGGCTATCCCCATAAGAAAAGCAAAAACTGAAGGCAAAAGCATATTTAGAAACAAGTTTGATACCGGACTGACGCTCCCCAGAATAGAAGGAGCCAGGACCATAAGGCCCTGTTTAAAAAAAAAAACAACAAGTTGGATAACCTCTGTCATTCGTAAATACCTTCTCAAAGACCATGTCATCATCACATCAATGTTGTTTGCTCATGCCATTACAATTCGCCCCTGAACTTGTGTAAAGTTGGTCTTCTTAAGCTATAGCAATTACCATAACTTTAAGAGCAACTCAACTCATGTGCCTTGGTTAGGATATAGCATCAGCATCAGCATCAGCATAATTTCAAAGCAAATCCACTCATTTGCCGTGGCTTTCTCTTGCACACATGGAAGATGATAAAAGTGACGAGTCTGAAGGGTATCAAGAGATGAGTACCATCTCCAAGATTCTGGCCTTCATTCGAGAAATTGTGTAGGTCAACGATTTTGTGTAGATCGATGTTCCAGGTGGTGCCAGAGACAAGACAGAGTAGGCAAGTCGCATGACCCCACCATTTTCACATAATTCCTGCACAAAGACGACAAAACGATGCCCAAAACATCAGAATCTGCTATCACAAGACAGAAGGGAAGGACCAGACAGAGCTATGTCTTTTTTCCTTGAACCATGTGACAATGGCAGCTGTAAACGTTTTTACAACCAACTCATGAAAGGCAGCCAGGCCCAGGCAGGGTAACTTCAGGGCAGATGTCAGGCCCGCCTGATGCAATAAAAATCTGGCCTAATATTCAATTTTGTGAAGGTTCCCCTGGAAGGTCCATGGCGGCCTGTGGGGGGGGGAGGGCACCGCACGTTTGGGGTATAAACGATGTTTGAATGGATTTAAGCTTCAAAGGGCTTACAGCCAGCCCAGACTAGGCAGCCAGGCCCAGGCAGGCTGGATCCAACTTGGCCAGGGACACCGGACAAGCCAAAAATCGAGCAAGCGACAAAACAAAGTCTGACTTCACGCCAGATGTGAGGTCTGCAATGAACCCAGATCGTGAAGACAGCCGTCAACAATGCAAGCCCAGATGAATGTCAACCAGCTGATGATTACCAATAGTCAAAATCGTGCCCAGACAGAATGAGATGAGATGATCATATACAGACGAAGGAGAGAGGAGGGAGATTAGACAAAGGAGAGGAAATAAATACAAGGCCCACTCCTGCTTCAGGCTCCCTCCTCAATCACCACCTCAATAATCTATAGTCTGAACGAGTATCTGAAGTAACCTCAATGTGCCCCGTGGCACGTCTAATCAGTCCCTCATCAATGCTGGAGCAATGTCGACATGAAGACAACCAGGTACGTATCCACGATCTCTCCACAGTCCCGATCTCCTCCCGAATGACGATAATCAGAACAGCAATACAAGTCACGTAGCTTCGCTTCGTCGGCGAACAGAAGAACACATGGAGCCACGTCAGCCAATGATACACGTTGCAGCAGCCACATCAGCGACAGCACATGGCAGCAGCCACATCAGCAACAGCGCATGGCAGCTGCCACGTCAACATGCCAAGAAGACAGGTGCAAGGCAGCCACCATGCCAGACCAGCAGCGCCTCGCCGAACCACAATGCCAGCGTCGCAGCGTCGAGCCAGCGTCGCAGCATCGAGCCAGCGTTGAAGTCAACACGTGAAGTCAGCATCAACGCAAGACAGAATGAATGTCAAAGCCAGGGAGGTCAATGCTTAAACCACCACTCCCTCCGACGTCAAGAAATTGGGGCGACCGGTAGCACAGATTTATTAGGGCTACCGGTAGTACAGTGTGGAGAACCGAAAGAGTGGCAAGATTTGAAAATATGTCTAACTGCATCTCCGATTTATTTCATGGTCTGAATGATTTTTTTTAATTTTTACAATATTTTTCCTGAAAAGGTCTGAAGCAAATCTACTAACCCTCCAATTTTTAGAGTCTTTGACAGATTCTTCGGAGCACGAAAAATCGCTGAAGTTGGTGTACTTTTCCCGTTGGCCCACAAATGGCACGGTGGCAAAACTGGAATATACACCGAATCGGCGCGGCGATTGTTTTGAAGTCAAAACGATTTTTCCAATTTTTTCTGATATTTTTCCTAGAAAGATAACGAACGAATCTACAGACCCTCAAAATTTCAGAAATTTCTGATTATTCTTCCAAAAGTGAAAAATCGCCGAAGTTGCCACTGTCAAATTGTGGGACCAGGTCCGCCGTTTCGGCCTCCGGCAGCCGCCCTGCCTAAAATCCCGCCCGAACTCACAGGGGGGGCTATTTCCTGGTGTCGGAGGGAGTGGTGGTTTAAGTAGTGTTGACTCGGGGTCTGGACCCCAGATGCTGCAACCTTTAGCCGTCCAGATCTTGATGCAAACGAAGGCCCAGATTGGCCTGAAACTGGATTCCCTTCGGCCTGGATGCTTGTCTGGGTACCTGCGCACAACAAGTGAGTGTATCCAACCAAGGGCCTGAGCGTGGTACCTTTGACTCTACAGTTGACTTTGACCCTTGACTTTCCTGGGTGCAGCGTTTGGTCACACAGCCAAATGCGACAGACTCAGGCCGGGGCATGTCCTGGTCACACAGCTCAGCGCAGACCAACTTTGGTCTGCGTTGCCTGGGGCTGAGTTCTGGGCCCCAGACTACTTCTGAACAGGGTTACTGCAGGTCAGCCTGACACAATAAAAATCTGCCATTGTATTTGATTTTGTAAGGGTTCTCCTGGCAGGGGGGGAAGGTCAGAAGCTGTCTCTTATACACATCTAGATGTGTATAAGAGACAGCCTGGAGATATAGCGGCCTGCTTGCCTCTTGGGCGG